AAGGCAAACATTTCTGAAGGGTCTCTCATCGCCAGGACAGCCCTCCGGGCCTCCTTGGACTCTGCAGACTCATGACATCCATGATCATGCATCATGGCTCCACCTCTCTGGATTCCCAAGGGAGGTCCCAGGCAACAATCAGGGACTTACCCTTCGAGGGACAGAAACTATTTGCAGACAAAACCTTTGTCTCATTACACACCCTAAAAGATTCAAGGGTGACCTTAAAAACTCTTGGCATTTACATACCTGCAAACAAAAACAAACAGAGCAGGTTTTACAATAAGTGATTCTGTTCTACGCCATACTCTCAGCCCCGAAGACAGTACAACCAATGGAGTAAACAAAGACAGAACAGACGTCAGCAGAACCAAGATCAGCCTTTGGTGTCTCATCAATCCACCTCTAGACAAACATTTTGAAGGTGTGGTCGAGGGCATGAGACCTCCACACTCCAAAAATGGTTCCTGTCCATTTGGAGACCATCTGTCACCATACTACCCAGTTTGGAACACCATCATGACAGACAGATGAGTTTTAGAGATTATCCAGAAGGGCTACTCTATCGCCTTTATTTCTATCCCACATACCTACCCCCCTTCCCCGGCCCTCTTCAGAGACCCGTCTCATGAGCACCTGTTACAACAGGAAATAAACCACCTCATACAATTAGGTGCTGTGGAACCTGTACCATCACAACACAGGGGGAGAGGTTATTCATATTAGGGTACGTCTATACTTATCCGCTGGTTCGGCGGCAAGCAATCGATCTTCTGGGATCGATTTATCGCGTCTTGTCTAGACGCGATAAATCGATCCCAGAAGTTCTCGCCGTCGACGCCGGTAATCCTGCTCCGCGAGAGGAGTAGGCGGAGTTGATGGGGGAGCCTGCCTGCCGCGTGTGGACCCGCAGTAAGTACCTTTAAGTTCGAACTAAGATACTTCGACTTCAGCTACATTATTCACGTAGCTGAAGTTGCGTATCTTAGTTCGAACTGGGGGCTTAGTGTGGACCAACCCTTACTTTATAATTCTGAAAAAGACCGGCAGGTGGGGATGCATCCTCCCATCCTGAATTTACAAAAACTCAACAAATTCATCAGAACACAACGTTTCAAAATGGTGACTCTAACCACAATAATTCCGGCATTAGAGAAGGGAGATTGGCTCTCGGCCCCTGACCTTCAGGACGCTTATTTTCATATTACCATCTACCCATCACACAGAAGATACACACTAGGGAAACAGCATTTCCAGTACAGAGTAATACCCTTCGGCCTATCCACTGCCCCAAGAGTTTTTTCCAAGGTTCTTGCTGTTGTTGCAGCTCACCTACGCAAACATGGAGTAATGATATATCCATACTTGGACGACTGCCTCCTATGGACACCAACAGGGCAAGAAGTGATAAACGCCATGCAGAGCACAATAACCCTTTTCACGAACCTAGGGTTGCAAATAAACACGCAAAAGTCCACACTGGTTCCTGTCCAAAAATTGAAATTCATAGGAGCCTGTCTCGACTGTCTAACAGCAACAGCAATGCTACCCCAACAACACTTCCTCACCCTATTCAATCTAATTTCAATGATGAGGGATAGCACACAAACATCCGCCAGAACATGTTTACAACTCTTGGGGCACATGTCAGCAACAACATTTGTTGTCAAGCATGCCAAATTCCACATGAGATGCTTGCAGGCCCGGCTTCGAACAGTGTATATCAGGGGTCAGCAACCTCTGGCATGCGGCTTGCCAGGGTAAGCACCCTGGCGGGCTGGGCCAGTTTGTTTACCTGCCGCGTTGGCTGGTTCGGCCGACGGCCGACTGGCCAATGGGGGCTGCGGGAAGCGGCGTGGGCTGAGGGATGTGCTGGCCGCAGCTTCCCGCCGCCCCCATTGGTCCGGAGCGGCGAACCGCGGCCAGCGGGAGCCGCGATCGGCCGCACCTGCTGACGTGGCAGGTAAACTAACTGGCCCGGCCTGCCAGGGTGCTTACCCTGGCGAGCCACGTGCCAGAGGTTGCCGGCCCCAGGTGTATATACTGCACGGAGACTCTCTCAACAGACATGCAGAGTAAAAGACTCGTTAACATGGTGGACACAACCAAACAACGTCTGCTCAGGAGTCTCTTTCCAAAAAAGAACTCCAACCATGACCATCACAACAGATACTTCCTTAATAGGTTGGGGGGGCATATCTACTCAACAATACGGTCCAAGGCCGCTGGTCCCCAGAAGAGTCCAACCTTCACATAAACTTACTGGAGCTAAGGGCAGTCCGAAATGCATGCGACCACTTTCTCCTTCTAGTCAAGAACAATGCCATCAAGATCCTCATAGACAATATAGCAGGCATGTTTTATATAAACCGTGAAGCAGGAGGATGATCATACTCCCTATGTACAAAGGCAATATCCCTTTGGAACTGGTGCATCACCAACAACATAGAGATATCAGCATCCTATCTGCCAGGAGGTCAAAATACAACAGCAGATCTACTAGGCAGGGATTTCTCACAAACCCATGAGTGGGAGATGGATCCCAGAATTCTCAAGTCCATATTCAAACTATGGGGGTTTTCCGACATAGATCTATTTGCAACAGCTCAGAATGTCAAATGCTCACAATATTGCTCCAGAGCGGGATTGGGACACCACTCCCTAGGCGATGCAATCCTCATAAAATGGGAAGCCCCATTTTCTCTGACCCCACTCCTAAGCAGAGTCATTTACAAGATCAAGCAGGACAAACCCAGGGTCATTCTCATTGCACCCACGAGGCCCAGACAAACGTGGTTCCCATACTTGCATCAGATGGCAGTGAAACCACCTCAAACCCTTCCCTTAGTACCTCACCTTCTATCACAAGATGCAGGACGCGTCTGTCACCCCAACCTCGCAGTAGTCCACCTCAAGCCCTGGTTACTCCATGGCTGTCTGGAGTCGAGAAGGCCTGTTCTGAGGAAGTAAAAGATATATTACTGAACAGTCGGAGACTAAGTACAAGAAAGACATATATCCATAAGTGGAAATGATTCTGCACCTGGTGCCAAGATAAACAGATCTTGCCACAGTCTTTCCCCCCTACCAATGATCCTGGACTATATACTAGGATTTAAAAAATTGGGGCTATCCACATGCTCCATAAGAGTACACTTGGCTGCCATTACCTCCTTCCATGACAAAGTGGACAGGGTCACTATATTTGCTCACCCGATGATTAAATGCTTCCTTAAAGGCATTGAAAACACTTATCCCACAATAAAACTCTACACCCATGTGGGACCTCAACCTTGTTCTACGCGGACTCATGGGAAAGCCAGTTGAACCCCTTGCAACTTGCTCTTTGTTTCACTTATCCATGAAGGTGGCTTTCCTCATTACCATCACGTCCCCCAGATGGGTGGGAGAATTAGGTGCCCTAATGGCACACCTACCTTATACAACATTCTTTAAAGATAAAGTAATCCTCTGACTGCATCCTAAGTTCATAATCAAAGTTGCCTCCCCCTTTCATTTAAACCAACCCATTTACTTACCTCTATTTTTTCCTAAGTCACATGTGGATGGGAGGGGGGCCTCACTCCATACATTGGATGTTCTCAGAGCACTAGCTTTCTACATTGAAAGAACAAAAACATTTATAAAATCACCTAGACTATTTGTTTCCATAACAGAATACTTGATGGTCAAACCATCTCAAAACAGAGACTATCCAAATGGATATCAGTATGTATCCATTTGTGCTATCAAAACAACAATCTACAACATCCACCGGGAGTTCGCACACACTCCACCAGAGCACTGGCAGCATCGGTGGCCTATCACTGACATTTGCAGAGCAGCTACCTGGGCATCAGTCCATACTTTCACTAAACACTGTGCTTTACAGAATAATCAGCATCAGATCCTCACTTTTGACTTACGGTGTTATCCACTGTCAGTAGATCAACTCCACTGAGGGGCACTGCTCAACAGTCATCTAAAGTGGAGCACCCACAGGTACACTTCACGAAGAAGAAGAGAAGGTTACTCACCTTGTGCAGTAACTGAGGTGCTTCGAGATGGTTGTCCCTGTGGGTGTTCCACTATCCTCTCTCCTCCCTTCTACTTCAGAGTTTCAGTCTGATTCTCTGAGGTAGAGATGGAATGGGGACAGTTGACTGCATACCACTATGTAACTGCTCAGAGTGGTGCGAGACAGCTACAGCACATGTGTGGTCCAACCTGGCACTGCTACCACAAATATCCTATTACAAGCACAGGGCGTCAAGACACCTGAAGTGGATCAATCAAATAAAGGAGTGCAATCAAATAAGTTTGAGAATCACTGCCCTATACCACCTCTGAACTGTGGCTTAGCTAGATCAGAGCTAGTTATGCTCTGGTGATCCCCAGTGGCTGGAATGGATCCTTGGGGACTGTGGAATGGGGCACAGTTTACAGTAACTCTGAAGTTGCCGTAAATTGGGGGAAGTAAAAAGGAATTAGGGCCATCTTTGTCTCTGCTTCTCAGGTCCTCCATGGAGCAAAGCTTGGTTGGGCCAAGCATCTAGCACACTGTCTTCATACCCCTCCCATTTTCCATAAATTAACTAAACTCTGTTTCTTAATTAGAGCTGGTAGAAAAATTAGAAAAAAATTCATCATTTGTTTTTGTCAATGTTTCAAAAAATTTTGACTATCTGTATAGGTGATCAAAAACATCATGCATGTTTCATGCCAGTTTTCACCAAAAACATCCTGTTTTTAAATTTAGTTTCTTGTTTGTTGAAAAATCAAAATTCAGAAATGTTTGACCAACTCTGTTTTTAAAATTGTATGTAAAATAACATACAACAAAATGTAATGAACTAGATTATTTTATTGCTGCTGAACTTAACTGAATAAAAGCTGTACCTGAAATGCATTATCTAATCTTCTAGGTCAGTCAAAGAGCAATGTCATTGTCAAGCAACGTATAGATATTAATTTTTTCATGGTCTTTTGTGTCTATCTAGATGAAGGAAGTGGTGTTAACTGATGAGGAAGAAATAATCAAAGCGAACATAGTAGATAATGAGGCATTGACACCAGAAGTGCTTGATAAAATTGTTCCTGAGTGGTGGACAAAGGAGCCAATCCGGTAACTTATTATTGACATCGAATTATTTATCTTTTTGTTTAATTTCTTTTAATAAACTCAATTTTTGCAATACTAAGTCCACAAATTGTAGATAAGTAATGAATAACATGCAATAGATAATCCATTGGATATGTAATATCGTGCAATACCAGCATACGCCTATACATTTAAGAATAAAGTATATTCACTTTAGTAGTTACGAAATAAAGTATTAAACCATCCTAAAACATCTCAGTCTCTCAAAAAAGGATAAGTAGGATTTAGTGAGAACATATTAGTGTTAATTTTATGTTTTTGTTTCTAGAAGGCTAAAGTGGACAGGAACGGAAGTGATAAACAGTATTTAAATGAGATTTCATAAACAATCCTGTTGGAGAAAGAATGATTAGATGACATATTTCATAAAGTACTGGACATAGAAGGAAAAGATTTATCTCAGAGAAAGTTTTCAGACTTGGGGTACGTCTTCACTACCCGCCGGATAGGGTAGTACCCAGATCGGCGGGTAGTGATCGATCTATTGGGGATTGATTTATCGCGTCTAGTGTAGACGCGGATAAATCGATCCCCAATCGCTCTGCCGTCGACTCCGGAACTCCACCGCAGCGAGAGGCGGAAGCGGAGTCGACGGGGAAGCAGCGGCAGTCAATCCCGCGCCATGAGGACACGAGGTAAGTCGAACTAAGATATGTTGACTTCAGCTACGCTATTTTCGTAACTGAAGTTGCATATTTTAGGTCGATTTCCCTCCCTCCCCCCAAAGTGTAGACCAGGGCTTGGGCTCCCATCCCACAACTGCTTACATGTAGTATGCTGCTGCATTTGTGCAGGCCACCCAGTCCACACACGTGCAAGGAGTTGCAGCATCATGTGTTAAAAGTTAAATTTTAATTTTAACCAAATATATACCTGTAACTTTTACAGTTTACAAATGCCAACAAGATTTTTCTTAGTATATTAAAAGATTACAAAGAGGAGGAAAATGTTCTTAGACTGTTCACAATCAAATGAAGAAAAAATAATGGTGGTTTGAAAACTTTTTTTAAAATTCCTGTAAAACAAGAACATATTCCACTTTCTCAACTTGCCCAGTACTTCTCTCACAATTTTCTGCTTTAACATTATCCAACAGTTTGACAAGCTAAATTATATGCAGTTTATGAGCCCAGTTCTGTGTGGCCTTCTACTTCTTTTGGGGCCAAATTGTAGCCTGATTAGCCCAGGGGAATAAGGAGCACAAGGTTCCTCCTTACATCCTTAAACTAGCTATCTGTATGTTGGGTAGCAGTGATGGATGGGAACAGGCTCCACAGAACCAGTACATTGCCACCCCCTCACACAGTTGGACAGAGAAGGTCAGAATGATATATGGACTGGATGCATCCTTGGCTTTGCCCACTCAACATACTGACCAGTGTAGATGTACCATTGTGTTGGGGAATGTACTGTGCCAAGTATGGAGCCAGTGCAGTTTTCACCGTTCCTTGGGCAGCAGGGAAACTTCAAGGACATTATGACTCTCTGAGTATCTCATTATCTGGTTCATTATCTTGGAAGTTTCAAGACTAGAACTACATTTTAATCAGGTACAACCTTAGTTAAATTTATGAAGCAGCAAAAGTAAGTTAAAAAAGGCCTCATTTAAGTTACACCAAGGATAACTTTGACAGCATTTTTGAAAGTATGCTATCAGGCTTTAAGTCCAAAATTTTTCTTGACTTAAAGTTTGCTATAATCAAATGAGGCCTTGCTGAGGAAACAGTCCATCCTGGATCTGCCATACAACATGATGACCATGGCATACTTAAATCATTAGGGGGCACAAGAAGTTCTCACGTGAATGCCAAAGCAATGCAAGTCCTTTTTAGGCACATGGTCATCTAGCCTCCATCAGGGCAAGCCACGTAAAGGTGACATGGAACACAAAAGCTGTTTGACTCAGCCGTCAGGAGATAGACAACTCAGAATTATTCCTGAACCAAGAAATTTTCCAGTTGATATCAACAGATCTTGGTCAGCCCCAGATGGATCTATTCACATCCAATGAAAATGCAAAGACAAGGCCCTTCTTCACCAGGGAAACCAGACAAAGATCAAAGGAAATGGACACTCTGCATCATAGATGGCAGAATTGGTTTCTTGGGCACCCCCCATCCCTCTTTCCCATTGTTCTGCTAATGGGAACTGTTATTCAGAAGATAAGAAGCAAGGAAGCATCTATCATTCTCCTCCTCCCTGATTGGTCACAAAGGGGTTGTGGTTCTCAGACCTAGTGGAGATGTCACAGAGGTCTCCACTCCCTCTTTTCAGAAGACAAAATCTCCTGTTCCATGGCTGGCCCCACTCTTTCATGTCAGCCCAGACTACTGAGCTTGGCAGTTGAGAGGCAAGCCCTAAACAAGATGGGATGCTCTGTAAAAAAAAAAAAAAAAATGGTTTTAGTCTCAAGCAGAACTTCTGGCTTCTCAGTTTACACATGGGTTTGAATAAAATTTTCCTACTAGTGTCAAAATAGAAAGATCAGCCCTAGGAAACAAAATATTTCAGCTGTCGGTGACCCAAGATCCCCTTAATGCCAACTGATAGAGGGTTACAGGAATGTCCTGATTCTGGTGCATACATTCTGGTTTACCAAAGAATGTCATGAGGTCTTAAGTACTGTAAGCTAACACAATGGATAACTATTTACATACGACGTCAATGGAGCAGTGTGACATCAACAGGGAAGGAAACAAGCCATGGGTCTGTATTCAGAGATAAAACTTTGGGGAGTATAAGTAGAAGGCAAAGGAGACACCCCCTAACCCTATACTTAGGAAGTAAACAAGCAGTGTGTTTACATTCATGAAAACAGGCTCTCTGCCAACCTTGGTTGAAAATGGTGCAGAGGAGTTTGAGGATGAAACAGACTTCTTTAGACAGGTTAACCTATAGGTTAAGTTTAGTCTCTAGAAAGTATATTATGATTTTGTTTTATATGTAACCTTTTGTTCCCAATATCTTTACTCACTGTTGCTTGAATCTTTGGTACTAAACATATCCTTGTTTTCACTATACACATATCTCAGTGCTAAAGGGGTAGCCGTGTTAATCTGGATCAGTAAAAAGCAACAGAGAGTCCTGTGGCACCTTTAAGACTAACAGATGTATTGGAGCATAAGCTTTCGTGGGTGAATGCCCACTTCGTCGGATGCATGTCTCAGTGCTGTGATCATACAAGCGGGGTACATATTGTTCCTTTGGGGACAGCAGATCTGATATCACTGAGTATTCAGTGGAAAAGGAGCTGGACATTACAAGGGAATGCTTCAAAAGGACTTGGGGACTGGGCTGCATCTATTGTTAATCTGCAAGGCAAAGTAAAGGCTGGTGTTTCCCAGAGGAGAATGCTTGAGGGGCTAACAGGCTGGTGGTATCAGAGAGCTGACACCCAAGTAAGCACAAGCAAGACTCCCTCCCACTGCTGGCAGGGGGTAACAAGGTGACTCACAATCCTGGGTACCCTGAGAACCATCGCACTGTTCTGGACCTAAAACTTCCCACCATCACATGTGACATCTTGACATTAAATAGTGACATAAATGTAGACTCATTAAAGACTCTGAAAGATCACCCAATAATAACTAAGTCCCTTAAAGCAGCATGTGTATCCAAAGCAACACCTGGGCTTATCTTCCCTATCTAGGATCTGCCTATAGTGCTGCAAGGTCTTGTGACCCATCTGTTCAAACTGATGGCATCTAATTCCTTGCATTTTCTTTCCATAAACATGTCTCCTGATTGAAGTCATGTTGGCAAGAAAAGTCTCTGAAATCTCCATTCTTGTGCGACATGAAATGACCTCTCGAGGTCTCTTCCAGCCCTACATTTATATGATTCTATCACTTGCTCCACCATCCACAAGGAAAGATTGTTCTCCATGCTCCAGAATCATTCATAGTCAGTGTTAAATATTTCTCCCATTCCTCAGGAGAAAATAATTCTTTCATTTTGCCGAAAGCCTCAACATCATATAGAGAAATCATGACACATGCCTAATGTAAGACGAACTATTAAAAGATAATGTTGGAGAATCTATCAATTCAGAAAAACACTGGGTCAGACCCTGGCCCATTCTGTAGCCCCTTTCCACCACTCTGCCAACACAAAGGGGTCTTACATCTGCCTTAAATATGAAGCTGAGGTTTCTGCCAGCATGGGGCAATCCTTGGCTGATGTGGTGTTCTGTGCTGCCCCCGCCAAACATGCTGGGCACAAAAGCATATTTGTGCATAGATAAAGTAATTTTAGAAAATATCAGAGCCCACTCAATACTTTCCACAGAGGTATCCTAGGCAGAAAGAGTGCTAGCTTCCACAAAGGAAGTCTGTAAAGCCTTGTCATCCATCAACCTTTTTTCAAAAAAGCACTATAAGCTTGACTTCATTCCTCTGTAAAATCATCCTTCAACAGGACAGACTCCAAATGAGGTCCAGAAACAATTTTAATACTACTAATTTGAGGGAAGTCCTACTGTGCTATTTATCTTTCCTTCCTACTTTTGTCCAAATGTCTGACTGGGCAAAAGATTAAGTTTCCTTTCCGAGTCTGACCTTTCCTGCCATCTGCATCACTTAAGATAAGTGCTTTGTCTATATCAAAGCCCATATATATGAAATATTACTCTTATATTCAATCTAATAAGAAGAAGTACAGAAACACAAAATTCAGCTTTGGAAGTACTTATCAAGTATGAAGATGTAAGGAGTATGACCAGGACCTGGAGTTCCATAGACAAGTCTGAACTGACTCCAGTATTTGTGGGGAGAGAGGTTTAGCTCATGCAGAGAGGTGTAGTCCATGTCATGGACTGCGGGAGAGGTCATTCCCTGAAAGGAAATCATCAGCTAACAAACTTCACATGACAGACTATACCAAAACAATGATTTGTGCCCCCACTTATGATTCTACAGCAGTGGCTAACAAACACTATTTTCAGAGCCACACTAGCAAAATTGAAGATGCAGGCACACAAAGCTCTTTTAGACACAATGCTAGCTGAAATTACTCATAAACAAAATGGGCATTTGATTTCTGCGCCATTCAAAATACAGAGGGAAAGACAATTTTTGCTAAGCAGAATAAAATAAATAAAATAAAAAGTGAAAAATTGCTTCTAGTTTTCTAAGGGCTTGTCTACTCGCTAGGGAACTTTTTAGTGTGTGCCAGCAAGATTAGTGTGCAACTCAGTGCACATTTGAATTCACAAATTTGAATGCACATTGCTGCACCATATAGACCAGCCTGAAGAGGGAATTGCAAGAAATTGAGAGGAAAAATGATGACATTTTAAAATTTATTAAAAGGATTTTTTAATAGTAAATGTTTTTTTTTTCTTTTTGCCATTCACTCACTGAATTTTCTGTGTGGTAAAAGATTACTTTAGAAGTACATCATCTTTATCTTTGTTTCCAATCAGATCCACAGGATTTATACTAGATGGTTTCCCTCGTACATTTGAGGAGGCCCAGTACTTATCAGAGCGAGGACTCTGTCCTGATGTTGCAGTTTTTATCCAAGTGGAAGAAAGTGACATTTCTGATCGTCTTCTTCCTCCACGTTTGAAAAAATGGAGGGATAGACAAAATAAAAAAATGGAAAATAAGAAGAAGCTGAAAGACATGAAAGAAAAAATAAAGGTAGGTTTTATTCTTTCAGTAACAAACACATTTTAGATTAGTGTTACAAGGAGGCCTCAATCTCCTGTGCCACCTCAGGTGGTCAATTAATACAGCGGGGCAGCACCTGGCGCTATAAAGGATCATGGAGAATCATAGAGGATAGAGGTCCTTGAAGGAAGGCTGAACATCAGAGGGGTTTGCTGGCTGACCTCCCCAAATTGGAGAGCCAGAGCTGAGGGTCGGAGAGGGCTGAAGGCAGGGGAGCAGTGAAGGAGCTTACCTCCATGCTGGAGAACTGGAGCCAGAGGGCTGGGGGAGAGAAGGGGATACTCCCCAGGTAAGGATGAAGTCCCAGAAGAGAGTTGGCGGTGGTGGGAAGATCCTCTCCGAAGAACAGGGATATACTACAGCTGGAAGAGATGGAGTGGCTGTCCTGGCAGAAGGATGGGAGAGGACTGAAGAAGAACCCAGGTGTGGTGGAAAACCCCAGAGAGTGGTATGTGCTATGTTGACAGACTGTCTGTCATAGGATTTTAACAACTATGCACTGGAAGTGGCAGGCAGACTTTGTTTTTTGGACTTTTATTATGAATTATTCGCAGTATGTTTTTGTAATAAACTGGCCCCTAGGAAGGGTATTATTGAGGCAAGAGAACCCGTTGTGGGGTTCTTAGGGACCTGAGAGGGGAAAAGGGATGTTAACCCCTGCTAGGGTGCTCAGCCATAACAGGACATTTGAGGATGAAGGGGAATCATTCAGTTAGATTATACCATTTAGGCAGATCTCTGCATTGGGGGATGAAGCAGAACTTCATAGTCCTACGGGGAGCACCGGAGGCAAGTACAACAATTCTGAAGTGGTCAGAGTTATGCTTATACCATCCCCCTCTCAGGCCTTAGTACAGGGGTCTATCCAGAGGAAAAGGGCATGACTGGGGTTTTCCTTTGCCCTGGAGATCCTCATCTGCTAGAAGTAAAAGTTCTGCTCCAGCAGTTGTCAAAAGTTAGAGCTCTGCTCTAAAAATCTCATCTTTGAGGTTTGGAGATGCAGTACTGTCAACCTCAAGAGGTCAAAAATCAGGATGTTGGCCCCCAAAATCATGAGATTTTAAAAAACATCAAATCATGTTATTCTATTCTGTCTTTTGACTTTTTGATTCTCGTCTGCCAATGAGTGTGTGTGATAATGTCATTGTCAGTGTGATACTTTCAGCTTGAATGCATACAAAAATGCATGCCTTTCCCATGTGTCACAGATGGAGACTTCGCTTTGGCTCTAATCACCAGGAATAAAGAGAATGGCCATCCGTGCCCTATTACTGTCCAGACTCCTTCCCTTCTTAGATTATAAACTTTGATAAAAGAAGGGCTGAATGTTAAACAGTTTGAGAACCTTGATCTATTTAGTGCATCATGATTCACACTAGCACATAGAACTTATGTTACTTTTCAAGGTCGATAAATTATAGATGTACATAGACTTTAAGGTGAGAAGAGACTATTGTGATCATCTAGTCTGACCTCCTGCACATCGCTGGCCACAGAACATCACCCACCCACTCCTGTAATAGACTCATAACCTCTGGCTGAGATACTGAAGTCCTCAAATCATGATTTAAAGACTTCAAGTTACAGAGAATCCACCATTTACGCTTGGGAGGCTGTTCCAGAACTTCACTACTTTGACGGTTAGAAACCTTTGTCCAATTTCAAGCCTAAACTTGTTAATGGCCAGTGTATATCCATTTGTTGTTGTGCTAACATTGGCCCTTAACTTAAATAACTTTTCTCCCTCCCTGATATTTATTCCTCTGATGTATTTTTAGAGAACAATCATATTTCCCCCCACAGCCTTCATTTGGTTAGGCTAAACAACCCAACCTCCTTAAGTCTCCTTTCGTAAGATAGGTTCTCCATTCCTCTGATTATCCTAGTAGCCCTTCTCTGCACCTGTTCCAATTTGCATTCATCTTTCTTAAACATGGGAAACCAGAACTGCACACAGTATTCCAGATGAGGTCTCACCAGTGCTTTGTATAGTTGTAATAACACTTCCTTATCTCTGCTGGAAATACCTTGCCTGATGCATTCTACAATTGCATTAGCCCTTTTCATGGCTCCCTCACACTGGTAGCTCATAGTCACCCTGTGATCGATCAATACACCGAGGTGTTTCGTCTCTTCCAACTGATATGTCCCCAGCTGCTGGCAAAATTCTTCTTGTTACTCCCTAAAGGTGTGACCTTGCACTTTGCACTATAAAATTTCATGACATTTCTAATACTACATGTAACGGGGCGTGGCTCCTCTACCACCTTCTTCCCTGCAGAAACTGCATGGACTCCAATAGTTGTGCCTTCACTATACCCTTTTATTTTAAGTTCCCTCCACCATTTCCACCACAAACCCATGCAACAGACTGTTTACAGCACCACCTGCACTTTTTGGCCCTCCCCTCAGAACCTGAGGGGAACAGAGGTCTCCCTCCCCTGAGGCATCCATGTAACTGGGCTAACCCAGCCCTAGTCCCCTCTCCTGCCCTTGGCACTTCCTTCCTGCTTCTTTATCAGCCTTGGGTTGATAGGCTAATTGGCTCCTTATCCCATCCATCCATCCATCCAGTGAGGAGGGCGAGGAGAAAGCAGCATAACTGAAATGCTGAATAGAGAGGAGCGGAATTTAGAGTGTAGTGAAGGAGGAGACTGGAACTAAGAGCCAGTGGGGGGAACTGGAACATGGAGACACAGGGTGGGAGGAAGGGCGTATAGAGATGAGGAGCCAAGGGAGAGCCAAGAAGGGAAACTATGATGAGGATGGCCTGGAGAGGGCAGGGAAGTAAGGATCTGTAACCACTAGAACACACTCACCTCAGAACCTACAATAGAACCTGGAATTCCTTAGTTCATAGATTCATAGACTTTAAGGTCAGAAGGGACCATTATGATCATCTAGTCTGACCTCCTGCACAATGCAGGCCACAGAATCTCACCCACCCACTCCTGTATCAAACCTGTGTCTGAGCCATTGAAGTCCTTAAATCATGGTTTAAAGACTTCAAGGTGCAGAGAATCTTCCAGCAAGTGACCCGTGCCCCATGCTGCAGAGGAAGGCGGAAAACCCCCAGGGCTTCTGCCAATCTGCCCTGGAGGAAAATTCCTTCCCGACTCCAAATATGGCGATCAGCTAAACCCTGAGCATGTGGGCAAGACTCACCAGCCAGACACCCAGGAAAGAATTCTCTGTAGTAACTCAGATCCCACCCCATCTAACATCCCATCACAAGCCATTGGGCATATTTACCACTAGTAGTCAAAGTCGAATTAATTGCCAAAATTAGGCTATCCCATTATATCATCCCCTCCATAAACTTATCAAGCTTAGTCTTGAAGCCAGATATATCTTTTGCCCCCACCACTCCCCTTGGAAGGCTGTTCCAGAACTTCACTTTGAATCCTGCTGACAAAATGTGTGCCTCATCCTCATTAGTTACTCTGTTAGTTCAAGTGGCACATGTCTGTGTTGTGGATCTAAAGATTCTAACCTTGTTAATGAACTGTGCGGGAGTCATTATAGTTCTGTATGATGGAATATTTTTTCAGGTTTTTTTTAATGTAGGAAATTACATACACAAAACTTCATTAAAAGAATGATAAGGTTGCAAAGTCAAGTACTTAAAAGTTAGGAATTAAGATTGACCATTTTTAATTGCATGATCACATACTATTTTTCCCCATTCAGTGCACAGGATGGATGGTGTTCAGAGAATTAATCAGGGTTAAATAGTTAATGAGGCTGTTGTCTGTATAACACCTGCTTCACTTGTTGTAGAAGTTAGAAGGTGCTTAGCAAGTGAGGCAGGAGATTGCAGGAAGAGGAAATATGGTTTTGTAGTTTAGGCAGTTGAATACTACCCTGCAGCTTCCTCCTCCTCCTTAATGCTGTCTGGGTCTAGCTGGGGGGCATTGAGAGAAACAAAAAAATACTGTCCCTACTCTCCGTTTAGGTGCCCAGCACCACAATGGCCTACAACAGGTGGTAGTCACAATAGCAGGTTAGCTCCCTGCTGCCCTGGATGGCATGCCCATCAGACAGAATCTTTGGAGAATGTAGCAGCCAAAACCTTAAAAAGTTGCTACTGAGCATGTATAGAATGAGCAATAAAAGGCACATCAGACACTTAGCCTGACCCCTTTCAGGTTCTTACTTCAAAGCATGGCAGCACTAGAGCATCTCAACATGAAGGTTGTAAGAACTTTTTCAGCATGGGTGGAACATCTTTTTCCCCTAATCTCGTTCTCATTCTGCATTATCAATATCTGCCTCATTCTGCATTTATTATATTATATTATTATATTATATTATAGCTGACCCGTTTTTTTAACACTTTCCCAAAAAACGCAGAATGAGGCAGAGATCCAACATAAAAAATTGCAGCCTGAATTGTTACAGTTCTTCAAAGTTATAAGCAACTAAAATCAGGGTCTTAAAATGGGAAATGTTGAGCAAATTTAACTTTACATGATACTACCAGCTCCACTCTTAATAAATACAGAGGGATAAATCCTGAAGTTGATACTCATTTTTAGACATGTTGATTCAATGAGAGTTTTGGACTGAGTAAGGATAACCTGTGGAATTCAGGGTTTGGTCCCAAATTAATAAGTTTTTGGTTCTTATTAGTATGTCACAAAAGGTGAGATCCACTTTAAGTTCCTTGGATGAGAGGCGTTACAGAAATTCAAAGTATTGTTATTTTATTAAGTCTTTTTTTCACTAATAGGAAGAGAAGATTGCCAAAAGAAGGGCAGAACTTTTAGCAGAGCAAGCCAAAAAGAAAGAGGAGGTAAGAATAATATAATGGAAAAAAAATTAAAAATAGAAATATTTGATTTGGTCTGTGTTAGGAATATCTAAAATGTCTATGATTATAATATCTAAGTTTTATTTAGAGTAACATGCAGTAGCAGTACTATAACTGAAGTTGTCAGAAACCTCTCTTTTTCCATTATAATTTAATCAGATATTTAAGGCATTTTACTATTGATTGGGAACAAAGCTACATATTGGAGACTGTCCACAGAATATTTATAACTGTGTTTTAAATTACTTGTAAACATGAACTCCTATTCAGCAAGGTACTTAAGCACATGCCTATCTTTGAGCACATGAATAGTCCCATTAAATTCAGGTGAGGCACATTTTAAGCATCTTGTTGAATTGAGGCCATGGTTACGCTGAAACGTGAAGTTATCATACTCAACACAGTTACAAAATGTACTAGAGCTATATTCAAACTCTTTGCCTCCTCCTGGGTATTCTCAGGTATGGTGTCAGCTAACAAGCTTGTTTGTAACAAAACCCTGTCAAACTGCAATAGCAAAGCATGCTAGCTACAGTGCATTAGAAAACAGTAATTAAAACACATTTCTATGTCATATTAGCACAACTGCACTCTACAACTGCATTCAAGCCGTGATACAGTGCTTTTCTGTGTTTTCTTTCCAAATATTAATCTAAAAGTTACTTATTTAGATTTTTTAATTAAGACTTCCATTTTCCAAAAAATAAATTGGCGTTTTAGTTGTTCAGTTCATGTCATTGTTTATAAAGCTCATTATTAAAGGCATTTATGGTATTCTTCAGAAGTTTGTTTTTTTCAGCATTCCCAACTGTGCTCCCAGATTCAATGAATTTCTTCCCACTACCAAAATAACTAGTTCTTCTTCGAGTGCTTGCTCATATCCATTCCAGTTAGGTGTGTGCGCGCTGCGTGCACGATCGTCGGAAGATTTTTACCCTAGCAACACCCGGTGGGTCGGCTGTGGAGCCCCCTGGAGTGGCGCCGTTATGGCGCTGGATATATACCCCAGCCGACCCAGCGCCCCCTCAGTTCCTTCTTACCGCCCCTGACGGTCGTTGGAACAGTGAACCGCGGCATAGCTGCTATTCACTATCCCTAGCTCTCATTATTGTTATTATAGTTAGTTGTATATATAGTTATTCAAGTTTTAGTTAGTTAGTTGTGTAGTGTATATATATAGTTGTAATATTGTTATCGGGGGTTTAGGGGGTGTTTTTCCCCTTTTCCCCCCCCGGCGCACAGCCGGGCCCATGCCCAAGGCTCCTGGCTTTAAGCCGTGCGCGTCCTGCGGGAAGCATATGCCAACCAGCGACCCGCATAGTTCCTGCTTGAAGTGCCTTGGGGAGGCTCATCCCGCAGATAAGTGCCCTATCTGCAAGGCCTTCAAGCCGAGGACAAGAAAGGAGCGGGACTTTAGACTCCGACAGCTCCTGATGGAGGCGGCTCTGAGTCCGGATCCTCCCTCAGCGCGCCCTGTCCCGGCACCGAGCGCTTCGGTGCGCAGCGCCCCGGCGGGCCCGACCGGTGCGGCGGAAAAGACTGCTCGGCACCGACCAACGTCGGCACCGCGCCCGCCTAAAGAACCTCGGCGCCGATCCCTTTCTCCGGGCCATAAGAAGGCCAGCAAGGCGCGTGACGTTGCTGCCGTGAAGATACCGGCTCCCCCGGTGCCGGGGGTAGAGCCGCGTCCGCAGTTGGACCGCCAAAGGCAGGCGGCCACACCGTCGACTCCAGCACCGAGGCCGTTGAGTCCGGTGCGGACTGTTTCACCACCAAGGCTGGTGGTGGAACCTTGTCTCCCTTCCACCCCGGAGACTTTTGCTACGGCGAGAGACCTGATCGCCCTCACGGAGCCGGCGCCGTCACAACTCCCGGCACCGGTGGCTCCACGCGTGCTGCAGTCCAGAGGCAAGCCTGCCCTGGTGCGCCCACCGTCGCCAGCTCGAGTCTCTCGGCACCGCTCCAGATCCCGGAGCAGGTCCCGACGCCGCTCGGAGTCCCGGCGCCGAATATCACCTCGGCACCGGTCGTACTCGCGGCCCAGATCCTCTTCGCGGCGCCGTTCAACATCCCGGCACCGTCGCGACGACCGGCACCGATCGGGCTCGAGACGCAGCTCCCGGCACCGGTATGAGCGCCACTCGGGCTCGAGGGGCCGCTCCCGGTACCACGCCTCTTCGAGATCGTCGTCCCGTTCCAGATCGGGATCCCGGCACCGGAGGGACTACCGGCACCGATCCAGATCCCGGCACCGCTCTTCGGCACCGCACAGGGACAGATCGCCTTACGGCCGGCACCGATCGGCACCTTACCATCCGGTGCCGACGGCGTCGGGCTCGGCACCGCCGTGGCCGTCGAGATCGGCGTCGCGCTCGTCTGATGCAGTGGAGGCCGGCCACTTGCAGGAGACCGACGACCCTATGCAAGGACCTGCGCATTGGTCCTTCTGGACTCCTTGGGCCTACCATCAGGCACAAGGAGCTCCGCTATCTGCCTCCCGCTCGGGCCGTTCGGAGCCCAGGGCCCCAGAGTCCACCATCTCCCGCCCTCCTCCAAGGGACGTGGAGGCTCCAGTGCCCACACCAGCAGAGGCCCTGGACCAGGGGGCAGGCGATGCCCAACTCCAGGAACACCTGGAGCAGGATCAGCCATTGGACCCCTTGCCACCGGGGGCATCCTCCTCGTCCTCGCCTGATGAGGCCGTAGCGGG